TCTCTAAAATATTTAATTTATCAAGTTTCTGTACACTCCTCTTATGGTATGCAGTTCATGTCTCTACAAGTACAGTAATTATTAAGACAATCATTAATTGTCTTGAGAATAATAACTATTAATAAGTACACTATACTTGCAAACTAGTTTATCTTAGTTAGACTGATAAAGTTGTTTGTAACTAATAACAATAAACGCTGATAATTATCTTCCAATCAATGGGTGTAATGTTAAATAAACTGAAGATACTTCTAGGATTTTGTATGTGATGAAATTACTTTTATTTCGTGTTCCTAAAGATACCAATCAATATGAGTGAAATAAATAATTTTGTTGAACAAATTCCATTATTTATAATAAAAAAAAAATAATTCATTTGTAATAAACCAATAAGCAGAAAAATTACATTTTCTTATGTTTCGTGTCCCAGTGTAAGCCACTTGTTCAGAGAATACCTAACTAGAGAAACGAAACTATTCCGAGTTTAAATAGTGTAAAGGAGAAACGAGAAACTGTTTGGAACAATCAATCGATCAATCAAAAAGTCATTCTCACCAAGTCAACGTCCTATCACTCCTGTCAAGGTGATTTTTATGATATATATATACGTGTGCATTTGTGTTAATGTCTGTCAAAAACGTGAGATTTGTAATATGAAAGGGTGAAGCCGAATTCGCATGCACAATAATGGTTTTAAATATGAATAGAATCATATATGTCTCTAGGATAAATCATCCTAGTTTAATGGATGATAAGGGCAGTAAGAAAGCTTAAGGATTCGCCTTTCATTGTGGTTGGAAAACGCCTTTTGTATTATAATTTTGATATTTTTCATCTCAACCTGATGGTTATGCAAGATGGCATGCAATCCCATTGTTGATATGATTTGGGATTTTTCCAATTCAGCAGAATTATTAGGTGATTTTTTGTGTGGCTTAGATGTTGTTTAGATAGAGTTGAGATTTCATGAGATGGCTACTCAATATATAAGACCCCACAATAGATCCACTTTAATCTATAAGAATACTTCTTTGTTGATATAAATAAAATCTCATCTTTGATACAAACTAAAGCATTTCGAAAGAAGTGAGGTGCTGTGTAATAATGTTTTAATTTTGTTTTGAAATGCCAGGAAGTTCTTCTGTTTTACTATAACAGTACATTAGACCTATAGTGTCAATCCATGACATTGCACTTGAATTGCTACGTAATCATAAATAGTCTTGTTTCAGTAAATTTTTAATCATATTCCGAGGAAAAGTTTTAAACTGTAAGAAGTTCATCTTTTCATGTTGTTCCTTTTAGATGTTTTCTTCAGATGTAATAATCTTGATTGCTCTTCCAAAGAAATTTAGATACAGAGTAGGTTTTATACAGAAAGAATGTGCTGAAGTGAAGTCAATATAGCGATTGGCGTGTGTCGGTTTACGGTAGATGGTTTGCTACATAATTCCAGTTAGAATATTTTTAAACTTGGGAATCTAAAAATAACAGCTAACTATATTCACTATTCATTTTTAAAACTGAATTTTATATGAGATGAGAGTGCACTGATCAGCTTAGAAAAAGAACTTGAGAACATCTTTTTGATAATAACAAAAGTATCTTCTATATACTTGAGCCAAATTTGTGGTCTGTTGTCATTGGCAAAATATAGTTGATGTTATATGCGACATTAATAGGTCAGCTACAACTTCTGACTGGGGGGAATCTCACTGCCATGCCGTTAGTTTGTTTGTGTAGTGTTCCGTTGAAGGCACGTATGGTTGCATTTAAGCACAGTTATAGGATTTCATGATGAATTAAATCCTTAAGGGTTATCTATCGAATGAATTTGATTATTCTTTGATAAACTGTGAATAAACTCTAGGCATCTATCAACAAAAATACTAGTGTATTGAGATACAATATCACAGTATATCATAGGTTCATTCTTTTCCATAATTAATCCCTATGTTTAAAACTTTATAAGATTATTTAATTAGATTATGTAATTTGTCTTGCAGTGACTTCATTTTGCTGCTTAGGTATTTGGATAATGCATATTTAGGCGTTTTTGTAAAGCCTTTTATGTGTCTTCATGGGATGTATGATTTATGAATTTTGGGTTTGATGTTGATTTGTGATTTGTGACTTAAAGCTAACCATAAAGTGTTAGTGATGAATTGCTTTAGTTCTTTGAAAATCTTATTTGTTTGTGATTTGACTTTTACCAGTTTGATGACTTATGGAGTTGATCTTATGGTAAGGATCCTATGAGTAAGCGTTCAATGGCTTTTGCATCATAATCCTTGCTGTTCATGGCTACAATTGTATTACATTTTACAGCTTTCACAATAACAATTCTTCTGTCTTTTTGTAATAAGTTTGAAATTCTCAAACCCTTTGTTAAGTTTGTCAGGTGGAAAGGGTTTCGCTTTACCAAAATATGGGATATTTCCTAGTGTAGTAAATAAAGATTTATTTTCCGGTAGTTGCTTGATTGATTGCTCTAGAAATGGATCAATTTTCAGATTGCTAGGTGGTTTTCTCTGTAAACTGAAATTTACTTCCTCTCTACTATTCGAACTTGATTTAGTTTCATTTCCTTACTCGTTTATTATATGAAGAAGTGGTCTACACTGAGACATGAAACGTTAGAAAGTGTCGTTTTTCTACTCATTGGGATTTTACAAACGTATTTTTTTTATTGGTAATAACCTACCTAATGCTAACTTTATTTGAAATTAACGTGTACAATTTTGGTAATGATATCCAGGAATTCCATTAGTATATTTCGAATAATTACTATTTAGAAAAATGTGTAAAAAGTTAATTTTTTTCAAGCATTTTCTACAATATTGCTTTCGAGGTAAATTACCACTGGTGTTAATATTAATAAAACTATAATTATGATAAGACGACAATAATGCTGATAGTCATAACAATAATGAATAAATCACTGGTGTGTAATCAATTTTATTAGATCTAGTATTCTGATATCATTCGATTCGGTTTATCACATTAGGGACTGGGGATCCAGTGATCTGCAAATATTAGAGATCTCAAACGACTAGTTTACCATTTGACTGCTCGTTCATAGTCATTACGAAATCCTTATCAAATGTCTTGCGTAAATCAAACACGCAAACTACTTTTCGGAGTTTTAACAAATAAAGATTTATTCACTGATTCGAAAATGTTCACTAGTTAATCAGTTAGTCGTTAAAGCATTCGACTAATAGAAATATAATACTTGACCAAATGGTGTCAACATTATAAAATCTGGTCTTCAGACGAGTTAGGAATGACATCTGAAAGTAGACTACTGTTGTCCGACAATAGGTATCTTCAAAACCGCCCTTGTTAAATAGTCTAATCATTGAATCAATGAATTCAGTATTAATTACTTCCATACTCATTCATTCAGCTACAACTACGTTCTCTACATTTAGCTCCAACTACTAGTGATAGTCTTACCTTGACCCCTTTGTTCTCGGAGTTTAATTTACATTATTACTGTACTTATGCGTTATATCTCAGTTGAAACTATGCAAAATCAAATCACATATTTAACGATTTACAATTGACTGAACGTCAATTGTTTCATGTGATTCATGATTTGCTGAAGATTTTTATTGATGTACCTATTAATTTATGGTTGACTAGTTCCTTATAGAAGAGTATCTTTTCCAAACTCTACAAGATGAACATAATTATTTTTTAGTCACCGGTTGTAGACGCTCTACTGAAAAAACTTCTGATTGATTAGGTTGTGGTGAAGTATCTTTATGGCAAAACCAAATTATTCTGGAGCATGTTTAAAATGTATAATTTAATAATCTATCCCGTTACTGACTAATTAAACTGTTACGTTATAACGTGAGTCTTTTTGATTCGGCAAATTATTTCTAACGTAAGCTGCAGCATTATCTGTCTACGCTGATAAAGTTTAATCATGTTATAAGCTGTAAAAATGGATTGGTTTACAATTTAAAATTGTTTTTGTCACTGAAGACAATACCACGTTTTCATTGTCAACATTTATTCAGTACACTTTTCCCTGAAAAAAAATTTAAGTTTCTCTTACTGTGAATGTTAAAAATGTCTAGAATTTAACTGATTGTGTCATTCAGTTCATTTACACAGAGAATATTGTTTATCAATTTTTATAAACTAATGTTTTTACATTAGTTCACATTTAGTTAGAAACAAAGTTTCCTAAAGAAGAAAAACATATATAATGATTCGATTTCGAAATAACTTGCAATCACTTTATAAAACAACTCACTTTCTCAAAACACTGTTTAAAACATGTCAAGTACCGATATTCATAACATTTTCAATCTTTAATGTTTCAATCATGCTGCTTTTATCGTATCTTGTTCTGGCAGCAAATAATTTCCAAGGAAAAAATACTAGTGGATTTATATTTGAGAAACTATTGTTCTCATTTCTCCAAAGGTTGTGTTGCATGTGGAGATGCAACTGTGATTTGGAAATATAGACACATTATAGTGTTAAACGTATCAGTGGAACTAAACTATTTACAGACATATGATCAATTGAATTTTGTTTGTAAATGATTATTCAACTCGTAAGCTACTGCGATGAGTTCCATCTGAAAACTTTGTAGAATTCAATGAACCTTAAGGTCTGGACAACAAGACAGAAAGTTCAACACAACAAATACTGGCTGTCAGATTTATTTATGCCTATAAAAAATATCATACAAAGTTTCATTGGAAGATTATTGTTTCAATGGACAAGTGTAACACAATCATCATCTAACATAAGTGATAATAACTTTTATTTATGCATTGCTCAACATAAAATCATCATCGTTTTTTCAATATAATCATACTGTTTAATAATTCTCAGGTTGGTAATTATTTATGAATTTAAATAGTTTTTTTTTCCAGTATTGAAAATTGAAGTGTCATAACTATCAGTCATCCATCCATCTTAACATTTTATATGTTATTTGTTTTTTTTCTGAAAAAAAATTTAATTATTTTTAGGTCTTGACCAATAAATTAACAAATGAAGTATTATTGTGTATTGCATATGTATTGGAAGTTGCACAAGAAGGTTGTAGGGCACAGCATCATATCTATCGGTTGACACGTTATGGCTGATTGCTAACTACACTGAACAACTCAATGAACAATGATACAAAAGAAAAGAAAAGAAACTACGAACCGCTCGAAACAATTCCTAACGTTAAATTATTCAAATTAATTTTATTTCAGTACATCATCGATGACAAAGAAGCATGACTTACTGGCTGGCGATCGATCATGATCAATTAATTCAACGATAAAGTTTTCTGTTTGGTGTGTATGCATAATCTTTCTTGAAAGATACTTTTAATTATTTCTGTGTAAACTATGTATGAATTTATTTAGATACTACGATGACATTATTCTTGTCTGTGTTGAGCCTTTTCTGTTGCATATAAAAACTTAGTCTTTCTATCCATGAGTAATGAATTTTGGTTTACTTTCTTAGCCTTGTGTGCTGGTGTTTTTTTGCACAAAAGCTATCGCATCTTTTATTGTCTTTTTGATCTATCTATCCGGTGATGCTGAAAGGATGAGTTTAACTTTAGATCTACTAAATACATGTATGATTCGGTATGTATAGATCGGAAAACCGAGCGAAAGCATGCCTTATATATATATATTTTTTTTTTCAAATGTTACTTTCACTGTTTTCTCTCTTTATATTGTACAAATAATACTGATTGGTCTATAATTGAGCATAAATTTGTAGGTGATTTTGAAAACAGTTATAAATCAAGCCTAATTTAGAAATTTGTAATGGCGATTAGCCGAATTAGAAATCATACATAGATAAACAAAGTTTTTATTGAAAACATCTACTTATTTTTAGTCACTCTTTACATTATTTCTCTTGATGTACACAATTCCGTATAAATAAACTTGAGTGTTGTACTCTCTCTCTGTGTGCCTAAAACCTGATCTCTTCCCACCAAGGAGGAATAGTTTGTTTGGAATTTTAATTGTAATCGTTTAATTGTTTTATTTGTTTTTTTTAACTGTCAACTTATCTACTCATGTTTTCAAGTGTGAAAGAGATCTATCTATCTACCAATTAGCGTAAACTATTAGGTCATGTAAAATTGGTTGGTATTTGCTAGGATTGTTACTCATGATGTTTGTCATGTCTATTCCATATGACATAGTTATTACATTCATTAATTATAATCATAAGGTTCGATCAAAATATACATTTTTACCAGTCCAGAATGATGATCACACAATGATTTACGTACTATAAATATGTGATTTCATTAAAATGAGTAGTATATATATATATATGTATGTATGTGAACCCAACTTTTATCAGTATTTCTCAACTATCTTAAAGATTAGTTTTTATATTCTTGCTTAACTTTATGCTTGTTTACTGAACTCCAAGTAATTCACAATGACCCCACATACATGACTCCGACCACTTATGTGATGCCAATAATGATGTCGATATAGTTTGTTTCTATGCTTCCAAGAAACCAGAATACTTACTACATACAATAATCTATTTGTGTATTATTGTCTTTCTTCAAGTTTCAAATGCGTTTCACGGCAAACAGATCTCTCTGCTTATTGAATCATTCATTACATCATTGTACGTCATGACATACATACACTACTGACCATACTTATAAACATATCAATTATTTTTATCCCCACCGTTTCTACTTGTCTGTCAGTTGTAAATTTTTTTTTAAAAAAAAACGATACCTACTATATTATATATTGCTGATTGATTGATTGATTGAGTGAGTGAGTGAGTGTCACTCCACGAAACTCAGTGATGCAGAAAGTTGAAAGTGCTTTGAAACCAATAATTATCAGTTATGCTGATGATGTATGTATTGTCTCTTTGGCTGGTGAAGATCATTGAATACAACACTTGTTAATCTTTGTATTTGTATTTGTTTTTTTTTATTATTCAAAGTAATAATAATGATAATAATAATGATAATAATGATACTGATACTGTTAAATATCTATCTATTACACAAATTTATTGTATCCAAATCATTATTCTTTCTTTCAAACTCTTTATTTCTTTCTCTACACTTCTCTTTTTCGTTTATTTAATTGCGTGACAATAAGTACAGATTATTGATGTATAGTTGTTGTTATGTATCTGTAAAAAAAATAATAGAAACGAAACCCCCCCCAAAATAAGAGAACCTGCGTTCTCTTCTCACATCGAACGATGGATGACCATCGGTTGACATTGGATACATTTTCATATTTCATATTTATTATTTCTATTGAATCTTCTTTGATATTGTGTATTACTAGTTTTGTTTTTACTTGTGTGCATTATTGTCTGTGTAAAAACCCAGTGTTGTTGTTGTTCTCTTCGATTTTTACCCATTGTTTTTTTTCTTTTCATTCAATGTGATGAACATGATCCAGGAAACTAACTTACTGTAAGACAAATCTGGCGCATGAGAATGAATACATTTTTCCACTAGTTTTGTTCAGTTTTTTTCTTTGGTTTTCAACAAAACAATTGATGAGATATTACGCAAGTGCACACACACACACCCACACCACACATTGAAGCGCAAATTTTTAATGTACATAATATATATTAATCTGTTATTATTATTATTATTATTATTATTAATACGATGATGATGTTGATGATGTTTTAGTTCTTTTTCAAAGTTGGTTTGTTTCACCTTTTTTTTTAACTCTTTCTGACAAACTGACAAGAATTCATTTCAGTTCAGTTTCCATTCACTCAGTTTTCCTCTACATATTTTTTTTCGTCCCTCTATCCAAAAAAGAAAAAACCATGTAATGCGTCTGTGTGCGTGTGTGTGCGCGTGTGTGCGTGTGCGTCGTCATCAAGCTCATTGGAAATATCATGCAACTACTTACTGGATTAGAGTTATTTATAACAAATGAAATATATTAAAAACCAAAAACAAAAAAATAAAAGAAATAACCTTTAATCTGTTTGCTACTACAGGCAGTCGTCGTCATCAGGAAGTTTAGGTTAAAAAAAAATTCTGTTTTTTTTTCTCTTCTTTTTTTTGTGGTTTTTTTTTAATTATTATTATTTCCAAGTATGTCAAATGTTATTTATTATTTTCTCCTGCTGTAATGCGTGTATGTGCCATCGTATATACATATATACATATTTATATATATATATATACATATATTTTCATTGAAGTATTAAAAGTCAAAATAAATATAACATTTCACTTCAACTGGTTGTTTGTTTGTTTGCTTGCTTGCTTGCTTGCCTGATTAGTTCGTTTGAGATCATCAGTTAGAGCTGACTGAACTTGAAGATCTACACAGATAGATAGATAACAAATGAGTTGTCGTTTGAAGAACGAATCAGCCCTGTTCAACACAAAAATAATAAGGAATAGATCGATCATGCAGACATTTTCATTCCATCCTAGAAATTAATTATTCTGTTGATTGATTGAGTCTCAAAAAAAAATCATACAGTGGACAAGGTGAATTACAACAATTACTGCTTAAATGATTTGACATTGAAGACTGAAATTATCATTAGTAAATAGGCCTTATTTGGCAAAAAAAACAACACTATGAACAGTTTTTACTTGGGAGGTTATATTTATGTGAAATTCGCTGAACACTGACTGGTTGACTGTTCCATTTTCCGTGGCTTTTAGAAGTTTCTATTCGTAACTGTTACAATGAGAATCTATGACTTGTGGAGGTGACCAACTCAGAAAAATGGAAACACCTCATCGACAAGGTTGATAAAGGACGTTGATGCACTAATAAGAGACTAGAGCAAAAATACCGATCATTTGATTTAGAATAGAAGCGATAATACTATTTTGATGCCGACACAACAATAATTATTCATCGCTTTACACCCTTTACAGTGTGATATTGTCCAGCAGATGTTAAATTTTCTGAGTAATTATAATAGACTAAGTTATGAATATTCTACTAGGATTCTCAATTAACGATAGACACGAGATAGTAGTAGAAGAAAAACTCGAGGAAATGTAGTAACTAATATGCTCTAACGGATATTCTCAAAACTATGGGCAATAATTATCTACTCTAAAGAAGTGACTTGCTTTAAGCCATTGAACGTCAGAAATACTAATTTTTATGAATGATGATATCACTTTATTATTATGAGTGTTTGTGGGTGAGAAAACTATCCAGTGCCTCTTGATTTTAGAAGTTTGTTCAACTTCGATTGATTCGTGATCGCAAAAATAAGTTTAAAGTTACTTATTTAAAAATCTTGGATTCGTATTCGATTTCGATGTCCAACTTCCTTAATAAAAATATCTGCACAACTGACTTATCGTTGAGAGCGATCAGTGTCATGTATGCGAATCCATTCTGGGTGATGATCGAATTCCACTGACTTGACTAGAAAGCTGGGTGATACGCAATCGAATGCAATATGCAAGATCAGTTAGCTTAAAATTACAGGTATACCTTGTTGACAAACTCTAATTAACACGGAATCTAGACATGTATCAGTTTTGGTTGAATTTGCCGGTCGTTGAAGATCTTTAAATACTAATATGCCAATAGTAGAATTATAATAAAATCCGAACTCTAAACTTCATTTAGAATACTACGATATTTGAAATGCAAGCTAATTTAGTTTTGATCTTATTCCGAAATATTTCTGGCGGGAAAAATGTTTAATTGAAAATTATTTTCAAAAACATTCTTTTTCAGTCAATAGTTTAGACATTATGGTAACTGAATGATTTCCTCTGAAATGGATGGCGAATAGAGGAGCAGGGCTGGGCAAGGAGTTGCAGACTCACTCTCTTACAAAACCAGATAGCTAAAAAATGGCTAACCAGGAAAAATAATTCAAACCATTTGAACTCTGCCCTGGAAGTTGCAAGGTCTTCACGCCTAAAGATGAAGGCTGAGTTTCTCCGGAATTCAGGGGTTCGATACTCCTTTTGACAACCAGAGCAACGATTGATATGTATACATAGAATGTTAGCACAATTTGGGAGACCGGGAGATTCATTCAAGTTGATGAGATGAAAAGATACAACCAAATCGTACTTAAAATCAATGAAACACATTAAACGCAGGTCGGACAAAGAAGACTAGCTTCAGGAGAGATGCTGTTATGCTCCGACCATGAAGAAGAAAATGCCTCATACAAACAGGGAGTTGAGCTGATTCTGTCCAAAGAACCACAAAAGGCACTGACTTGATGGAAATCTCTGGAACCAAGTGTCGTCAAAACATCCTTCAAAAGAACGAAAGAAGGGATCACAATGAATGTCATCCAGTGCTATGCACCCACCAATGATAACAACGAAAAAGATAAAGAACAGTTTTATAAGAAGCTGCAGTTAATAGTCGAGAGATGTCCTACAAAAGATATGACTATTATGATGGGAGACTTACAAGCCAAGGTTGGTATAGATAACAATGAATGTGGAAATATTATGGAACAACATGGAAATGGAAAAAAACGATGAAAACGGCGAGAAATTTGCAAACCTGTGTACCTTCAACAAACTGGTCATAGGTGGCATCATACTTCCACACAAACGCATACACAAAGCCCCATGGATTTCATCCGATCATACTGCAACGGAACCATACCAACAGCATCTGGATCAACAAAAGTTCAGAAGGACCACAGAGGACGTTAGAACCAAGACAGGAGCTAATATAGCTTCAAATAACCACTTAGTGATGGCCAAGATGAAATTAAAGCTGAATAAGCACCTCTTGCTGGTTCAGGCTTTGACACAGGCTAGTCTCCAAGCGACAATTTACATTTTGAGGCAAAAGTATACGCGTGCAAAACATTTCGTCTTGTAGCTCATTGTGATCAGAGGACTTGATGTGATGTCAGTTTCCACCAAACGAAAACTTTTTTCACCTGCATATTTCAAGTCAACAAATGAATCTTCTGGTAGCAGTCAGGTCAAGGGAAATTGATAACTAGAAAGACACATGACGGAACCAAATAGAGAGTAGTATAATGGCCAACTCAGACATGGTGTTTAGGTTAATAATACGGACGACAGTTCTAGCGGATGGTTGATAGATGTTGTTTGATTAGAGAGCTTTCACAAGGCTAGTGTATTTCATTATTATTCCTTCTATTGGCAGATACTTAAACCATCGTTACTTCTTTCTTTCAGCCTATTTCAAGTATTTAGGATGGTTATTTACTCTCAATTTTTAATTAGAATTGAAAACATGTTCGTTTGTTTTCTTAAGAACGAAAATGCAATGACTGAAATTGTTCGGAAATGTATGGTTTAGGCAGTTTTCATTGAATGCTAATATGGTTTTTCCGAATCATGCATGAATCAGGAACGATTTTTTTATCCACATAATATGCTTAAATAACTTGTTTGTCAGTTCACATATTCAGTAACGTGGGAACAGGCAATTCACCCTTGTCTACCAACTAGATTTTCTTACGACTTTAACCATCATTGAAAAATTAGTGAAAATGATTCATTCATAATTTGTATTTATGTACATAAAACTGTAATTATTTCACCTTTCAAAACTATGCAATAGTATAAACACTGTAAAAACTGAATGAAAGATATTGTCAAAATCGCCTATCCAATTAAAAAATATTTCAATAATTCTAGATACAAAATGTGCGTGCAATTTTATGTTAAGTGCTAGTAGCACTGAAACCATCGAAAGTTTTCAGTAATGAAGTAACTTCGTCCACCTGTTCACTTAACCAACGCGGATTAATCCAGTATATGTGGATTTTATGCGGTTGAAATAAGATAATTGAACGCGACGAACAAGCTGAAACTGATGCTATTGACGATGATGAAAGCGAGCTGGCATCTGTGGAATCATGCATTTTACTAATGCAAATATCATTAATTATTTGACAAGGCAATAATTTTCTATCATTCACATTTAAACTTATCCCAGTAGAATTATTCATCAAGTCGGATGTTGTATTATTTAATTGTAAAGAATTATTCGGCTGGTTGAATCGATTCACAATATCCCATAGAATAACTTGATTGTTTGAATCCAAACTGAAAAATACCGAAGAACAAGTAGTTGACCAAATTAATTTACGTATACTAATGAACAATTGATGATTAGTTGGAATGTTTGATGATGCTAATTCTGAATCCGATTGTACAATGTAATCTTCATAATCTGTTAGTTTTGTTTTGCATACATTTGTCATTGAGGCTGATGATGATGATGATGATGCAACATCCCATTGAAGTATAGGTTGAAAGTAATTTGTTTTATATAAACAAATTTTACCATCTGTATAACCTAGATTAAAGAAACAGATTTTTACAAATAATAATAATAATTATTATTATTACTATTATTATTATCATCATAATCATAATCATCATCAGAATTATATGACTGAAATTATTAGCCTAATGTAGTAGTCGTTGACTGTGGTCATATAGATAGCATATAGAAAGGAACGAAATATTCTAAGAGTAAAATTACTAAATATCCATACATATATATTTTATCATCTTACTTTTATGTTCATGTTCGTTTCCTACTTACAAATAATGAAGTATGGCATAATATGTAGCTTAAGAAAGATAGAAGATATATATATATATATATATATATATATATATATATATATATGGCGGAATTATTCAGATAAGTTATTTTATGCATATCAATGCGGATGAAACCAATGCAATATATTGATAGTTTGTTAAATGGTCAAGCAAAAATTGTTACTGTATGAGATTCGCTTTGACATTCAGTTGTTTCTATTAACCTGCCAACGAAACGCAAGCAATAGAGGCAATCAACTCGATGTCGCCTCGTTCCAGAAAATGTCCTTCTTCTACTGACTTATTAGATGGTAGGTTGATTAAATAAGTCAAAACTACTATAGAACCTGACATATATGTTGTGGTTGGTTGGTTGGTTCGTTTCCACGCCATTAAAGCACAGTGAGATGAAATTGGTCAATTATGTCTGCTTTTGAAGAGACTACATACAAAAATGCAGTCTAGAAAAGTTTTCTAACCTTTATTTGATGAAAATGACTGCAGAAATTTAAAGTAAATAGCTAGGAAACCAAAATGTCGTACATTCAACTCTTGTCTGAAAAGCTTAATAGGAGATATTCAAATTTGTTTTAGGAGATCATTATCCATTTTAACTTGTGACTGGAAAATAAACATAAATAAACCAATGGATTGTATACGTACAAATATGGAATTGTAATGACTTTTTGAACTGCTACTTGAATGTGCGAATCACTGGACATAGTTACGTTTGATGAAGTCTATGAATTCCTTGTATTTCCAACTTGATTAAGAATTATACAAAAATTATTGAAAAATCTCACACTAATGGTGAGTCTGAAAATTTGATAGAAATCTCATGTTAGTGCTCACTCTTGATGGAGATGCCTTGGAGGACGTTAACACCTTTACATATCTGGGCAGCATCATCGACAATCAAGGTGGATCCGATGCAGATGTGAGGGCATGGATTGGCAAAGCAAGGGCTGCATTGCTACAGTTGAAAAATATCTGGAACTCCAAACAACTTTCAACCAAAACCAAAATCAGGATATTCAATACAAATGTCAAAACAGTTCTACTGTATGGAGCGGAAACCTGAAGAACTACGAAAGCCATCATCCAGAAGATACAAGTGTTTATTAACAGCTGTCTACGCAAAATACTTCGGATTTGTTGGCCAGACACCATCAGCAACAACGAAATGTGGGAGAGAACAAACCAGATTCCAGTGGGGGAGGAAATCAGGAAGAAGCGATGGAAGTGGATAGGACACACACTACGAAAAGCACCTACCTGCATCACAAGACAAGCCCTTACATGGAACCCTCAAGGCAAAAGGAAAAGAGGAAGGCCAAAGAATACATTACGCCGAGAAATAGAGAAAGATATGAGGGGAATGAACAAACACTGGACAGAATTGGAGAGGGAAGCCCAGGACAGAGTTGGTTGGAGAAAACTGGTGGGCGGCCTATGCTCCGTTGGGGATAACAGGCGTAAGTAAGTAAGTAAGTCATGTTAGTGCTACATGTAACTCAACAAATCACATTAGATTACCTAATTTAACCGATGATATCGAGGATAATCATTTTCCATTAGTTGCGTTTCATGTTCAGGGTTCATGAATTGGAGAATCGTTGTAATGTAATTCTTTCAGCTTCATTTCTTTTCTTCTAGATACTGATTTAGGCAGTCAAGATTTAAAATATTGACCAATGGGTCTGGTTTAGTATAGAGATTCACTGACTGGTACCTAACAGTTAATACATGCATTAAAACTTTTCATTCTTTGTTCTGTTATCAAGGATTATAACTGTTTTATAACTATTATTGAAAAGAGTTCATGTGTTTGGTCCGTTTTTCGCAAACTAACATTATGTTCAGTTCCGCTGGAAACAGGCGACTACCGGACTACTATTTCATCCTACTGATGGAATCAATTGTGCACATCATCACAAGATGAATTCGAAATTCACAAGCCTCTTAGCGATTGTGCTACTTTTCAGACTCCTGAATTGAGGATCAAATAGTTCATATTACCATATCGGATTGCCGAAATTGTGAGATCGGTGAAAATATACGTACCACAAGTTCCCGATAATCATATTTAATGCAGTTTATAAAAAATATGAAAACAGGTCGGTGAACGCAATTTACTGATAAACGTTAGTTTCACCAAGTCATGGTGAATACGAAATAAAATGTGCACTAAAAAATGTGATCCTGACCAATATAATTCTCACTTAAACGGGTAAACTTTGTCCAATAGTATAAGAGATTTCGATTATTTTGATTTTTTTCAACAATTCATATGAAAGTCAATATGGGTTGCTAGATATTAGAAAATATGCAGCAACTGGTTGTTCTACCGACCGACTGTTCGGAATTACACACTCTTAAAACAATCAACTAAATGACCCATAAAGTGAAAATCGAAAAGCAAAATTTAAACAAAATCATTTGTTAGTGTTACATTACTACCGAGCAAAAACATTTATTAATGTTTCTGCTTCGCTAGAGCTCAGTGATAACTTTTTAGATCATGCAGCCGGTTGGTACGAAGTCGTATCCATCAAGAGAGGATTAGTTTGCCCAAGGTGCACTTAGCTGATGAGTATCTCCAAACACCGCCATACACTTCAACATAGTGAATGCGCTGTACAGTTACTTAGTCCAGAGGGCACATTGTAACTTGATTAACAGAATTCGATTGATACTAAGGACTTGATATACATAATATATATGAGCAGTTAACCAAAACGCCATTCGCCGCTACTTTGTGGTCAGTCAGTTGCAAATTATAGCATTCAATACTTATTCAGTTCCTTTCGAAATTTTGAATGTAGTGAAATCGAACTATCATCATTAGTAATATCATTATTGAGCACATTTAAAATGAAATAAAAATACAGACACGTCAAACAATGTTTTTTTTTCTATATGCTTTTACTTTATGCACTCAACTTTTTTTTAATTTAATTTGTCAATTTCACCTTTCATTCATCTGAACATACGTGATTATTGTACAAACATTATTACCAATAATAAATACATTCAGTATAATTATTTTACTAAGCTGAGTAATCAGTCGCAAATGTCTAGTGACCTTCAGATACGTGTATGATTTATATGCGTAGGAGCATTATGTGCATATATTTGATACCTGACGATAATATTATTATTGGTGTTTGCCAGAATGATTTCTTCTTCATCTAACCGTTTAGATAAACAATTGTTTCTTATTAATTTAAAATTCATTATTCAATTTATTCAAGCAAATGTTCAGTTGAATGTTGAGGTGTATATCTCTGTGCATCACACTACAGGTATTAATTAGTAAATAACCATAACCGGTGTGCATTGGATTTTGTTCAGAAAAAACAATTTGGAATACTTTAACTACTTTTAATGAAGCAAACTTTTATCGAAAAAAGAAAAAAATTCAAAGAACTATATAATTCAAATAATAAGATGTCTTCATTAAAATTAAACCATTTGAAGGAATGGCTGTGTTTTCCCCTTATATTCACAGTCACTAGATCGTTGTTCTCAATCTTTTAAGTAATGCAGGAATATTCTCAAAATGATTCAACACTAAGTGAATTGACTAAAATTGGTTGGATTTAATTAAATCGACAACTAATTAAATCTAGAAAAGTAAACCTTGGTCATACTAAAATTTAGGCAAAACAAAAGCCGCAGTGTAATTGAGAAAGTCCTCTTGCGTCACTCGAAAGATGAAAAATATTTCATTGTTCTTAGACGTTTTAATTCTACGCTAATTTTTATGCAGTCAACCTTTGCTGTTCTAATTAAATGAAAGAAATACAGTCTTATTATTGCTTTTTTGTTAAGAAGTAGAGCATTTGATCATTGCTTTGTTATTCTATAAATCTACTGCTTTACAATTCGTCGGCTTATTTCATCAAGTTCACGTAAGTTAATCACAGCTTTAATATTGTTGAAAATTATGATGAGTGGAAACGAAAGGTCTAATTCTCAAGTAGTCCAAATCAGTTAATCAACTAAATTCATTGTAAGTTGATCAAACAATGAAAGAAAAACTAGATTTGCAAAACGACTTCTCACTAGCTACAAACAGTCTGAAATTATAAGAAGTAATCGTAACAGAAATAAAAGTCAAAATGAGCGGAAGATATAAGCGGTAACATTGAACAAAGTTAACAATGGCGGCCATTCAGGTGCTGAGAAAAGCTAGTCATACAAAGAAGAAGCCAAAGTTGAATGCTAGTTACTATCATAGTAATCTTTGGTTCTGTTTGTCCAGTGATCTTAATTCCACAAGGATACCGTAAAGTTTTTTCGCTTAATGAAACTGCTTCTTGTAATGAATGAGAAGCCTTAAAATCGAATGACTTCATTTCGTTTCGCAAATCTTGTTGTTAATGCTTCGTTTAAACTAACCCCTATACTAACCTCTTAAAATCAAGTCTACAAGAGAATGTAAAGGTTTTGTTAACATTACGTAAGACAAATCAGAAATGTTAAATATTTCTTTTGTTTTATACCTACTAGTTTAAACATTTCGGTCTTACAGGAAACTAGTCGCAGTCAACAGACTCAATATCAACTCTTTTAACTGACGCTACTAGCCACGTGAGTTCGATTCCACGCAAGCATTCATTTTCACGAGATTTTTGCTGCATGTTGCTAGTGTGTTTCATCGAACTGGAAACTTCAATTTAACAGTTCCTAACACCACATTTCAATCGCATAACATTAAGTATAGTGCAATTACTCGTCACTTAGTCCATTTCCCACAGTACAAACCAGCTGAAATGATTAGATTAGCATTGACAATTTGAAAAACAATAGTGACAGGTACTCAGTAAAACACGATTGTAACTACTATAGGGATTAAAAAACATATTCATGCTTCAAATCACACGTTTGAATGTCTGCAAAATAATACTAAGTTTTCAAAACTAAAGAGAACATATTCAGAATGTTGCTATTCAATGTTTTCTGTATTTTAAAAAAATCCGACAATTATTCTTCAAAATAGTGAAATTGATTGAACAAAAACCCTTGAGTATACAATAAAATATTCTAACCTGCAATAAACAAGTGTAATTCTTTATGTGGATGACTTTCCAGTGCCTGTACAGCGGCCGAACAGCATGATGTACGTGAAAACAGTTTAGGATAAACTTTTTGCTTCGGTGAACGACCACGATGTATAATTTGACCATTACTACAACCGATCAAGAAATTGCCATGTTTTGTTACAGCTAAACAAGTTGTGATAATTTTATTATTCAATTGATCCGTTAGATCCAAATTACTTGTCTCGGTTTGATATTTCAGACAATTTTCTTTTTTTAATGAAGCTGAAATCTAATCACACGGAAAAAAATTGAAAGAAGACAATTTTTACGGTTTATTTTAGTTTTTTAGTTTTTAGTTTAGTTTATAATGCATATCAACGAGGGTATGTATGATGCTGTTCATGTTTCCGAAAATATTTTCCACTTTTCATTTTAATTAGATGAGATGCAATAGGCTGATTAGAAATATTCCATTTCAGTGGAATCTAATCAACGTTTCATGATGTTAACGTTTTATGTAAAGTTTCTTAATTTGACATTAAAAAATACACTTATGTATTCATTCCCAAGTAGTAAATGAATAACTATAAAAAAATAGTGAAAACCAGTCAACAATATTACAGTTAGGGTATGTTGTCATCACCAAAAGATCTCATGATCAAAAGGTCTTTCCTATGGTTGATTTTAGGTAAGCTCTGTCTAAGAGTCCAAAATCAGCTATAACCGTGGTTTCTCAGTTTCCACAGAACCGATATATCGCTAAGTTTATTCCAAAGAGAGGATAAAGTATATTGAGGCTAAAAATAAACTGACAGTCAGTTTGTAAAATTTACATCCTATAAATGAATCGAATCTTCCTAACTAGCGATCTATCTAATAATTTATCTAACGACTTCTTAAAAACATCTGGAATTGTTCCTTGAACGAAGTGAAATAATAGTTTTGAACAATTTGAGTGTAGATAAAAGTAAATAATAGCTTGAAAAGAATGATCACGAATGATCATGTATGGCGCAGTAGCTTATCAGTAAACGAAAACAATTTATTCGACAAATTCTGAGTCACAATTAGGTAGAAAATTTTTGACTTACATCCATTTGAGTTGATTTGTACTCGATAAACAGTAAGCGAACCAGACGTAATCGACTGGAGCCAGGCGATAAACAGTAATCTGTTAGTGAGCCTGCAAGGTTTTCAACAATATTTTGCATCCCATACTTCTGATTCATCAAAACTAGCCATAAACTGATGTTACCGATTTCGTCTAGCGCAAGTAACTGAAATTTGTCTAAATCTTTATCTGATTCATTGGCCACTTTTCGACACATATGATAATGACTGTCTGCAATCTTAATCGATATGATTGGGCTAAAGTGATTATGCTGTTGAGTCCTATAGTTGATCGCTGACTGCAGTTTACATGTTGTTGTTGAGTCCTTACATTCTAAAAGTGATGTTTTATACGTTGGCAATAATATGGCCAGGTTAGAAAAGTTACTCAATACAGTGGAAACAAACTGATGATCCACAGCAGTAAGAACTGACAAGTTTGTTGATTTCATACCTATATTACTGGAGTAGTTGTGTTGATCCCAGATACACAGACCTCCATCGTGAAGACCAGCAATTACCTAAACCGGGAAATGATAAAATAAATATTTATTCTTTATGGAGACAGCAGTTCTTAAATAATCAGTAAATGCTGTATCTATCACAAGGTTGAATAACAGAGACAAAATACATTGATAGTCAAACAAATCCATAAAATTTGCATAAAAACATCGGAAATGTATATGATCATCGTAGAAGCTGATGCAAATTTTGATTTAGTCAAGCCAACATATCGCGAGAGCATGACAAGATAAAATTAACCGGATAAATAGCAGGAATTGTAGCGGCTACAGTGAAAAAATCATAAAAAATATAGTATGGGAATACAAAACGGAAAAGTATCACTGAAGGAAAAAGTGAAATGCAAGATCGAGACAAAGTTGAAGATTGAATTCTTCTAGGTCATTTTGATCGATTATCATCTGTTTTACACATAGTCTACAATCAGTAATTACAGTCTTGGAGAAGAACCTTAATTAAGTGGTTTGCATCCATCATCATCTCATGGGCCAGTGTTCAAGTTTGGCAGATCCTAGTATCCCTTCAGCCTACTTATACACCACCAAACAGCATATGTTCAGGTAGATAGTGATTAGAGATACGTAACATTTGGCTCAACCAGCTCAATTGATGAAGGTTCACTACTTCATCAGCTGACTTGCCACCTTTGTCTATTACCCTACTTCCGAACTCACCACTACTCACTTACATAGCCAATGCTTCCAACACACTTTTCATCAAAAACACTCAGTCTACTCATGTCTTCAACTTTCTCAGATCGTGTGTGACGGTCAGCTACACAGTAATACAGATGGGACTACTAAGCAATGTAGTCATCCTCTGTTTGACACGAATATCTGTCCTACACCACAAGCGAAGCACTTTGGGAAACACCGATATAACTTGGTGAACCCGTACCGATATATTAAGTCAAATGCCGAATCACCACTTCTGAGAGAAGGGGAGCTTTCACAAATCTGGTAGACTTCTTTTGTATTCCTTTCATTGACAAAACCTTTCACTGAACCTCGTAATTATTTGACACCTAAATTTTAAATATCAATACTAATCCTAAACTTCATCGAGTATGTAGTTGTTTGAACGAAATCAAAGACGTAAGGACTGGAAGTGAAACTGGAGAAACCATTGAAATCTAAATAAAGGAACTGATCATGACGATCTCAAGTTCTGTCAAAAGAATTAGGAAGTCTCAACTTCCGTTCTCCAGTGCCCTAAGAGGATATTTGTTTATACGGGTGTCTGTAAGGTAAACTGCATTAGAGATGACTTGGGAGCATGAGTGCAGCACCGAATAGACAAATTCTCGTTTACACCTGGTCTTTTTGTGAAATGTTTCAGTAGCGTTATACGCTTATTTTGAATTCGAAATACCGATGATACAAACCAGTGTTTTAAAGAAGGGGTGTGAAATTTTTAGACTTAACCGTTTCGAACCTTATCCTTGCGTTGCGCAAAGGCAGTAACTCTTTAGCCGCTGATTACAGAATGAATAGGCTTTCTACCGTCCGACGCAAACATAATCAGTAGTATGACCTCACCTTCAACAATGAGTTTTCTGTTTATAGACTTATTACTGTGCAACTTACCTGATTGATATGTCAGGTATCTCCAGTCACTTTTAATACACCTTTTGATTTAGGCGTGTTAACCAGGCAGAAAATTATGCCTAGACAAGTGAGATATTATTGCCAGAACCTCGCTAATGATTCGGATGGCAAGCGAATACAGAAGTCTCGACTGATTATCACAATATGCAAGCAGAACCATCATTCCACTGTGACTAAATAACTAACTAATTGGTTTACTCGTCAGTTACTTCAATAAGCTGTAAACATTTTGAATAATAAGTAAAAATAATCCAATTTTAACAAGAAACCACCTGTTTGCATGGGCCCAAACATTTTACTCTGATTGGTCCGTACCTACGCACAATGAATTATTGCAGAATTAACGATTCGAATTCCCAAAGGCTTTGAAGGTCTTTATGCTTGGAATTGTAGCCAAGAGTCAAGTAATAATAAAAATCAATAGTGTAGTCTTTCTTATTTTAAATCAGTGAAATCAGTCAAGTGACAAAAGTTTGATAGGCAATGAATGCTATTGGTTTTATGTCGCTAGTAATCTTGTAAACTTAGTTGAATCACTCACTCATCATGAGATCAAAATTTTTATCGTAAAGATAACAACAATGCCTGTATAATAATAATTTCATATAATATAAGAGCAAAAACGAACACCAGTTAATTTCTAATTGTGTACTCAAAATAAATTATGAGAAAAAACTGGCCACCATTCAATAATCAATAATCAGTAAGTAACACTCAAGTCATTTAAAACCATCCGGATTGTTCGATTATGATTGAAGCATTTCTTATCCAACTAGTAAGTAGATTTAAACATAAATACAAACACTGAAAACAGTGAAATCTAATAATACAATAATAAGTGAATCACTTCTTCTTCTACGTACTACATTTCGCGCAACATGAATCATCATCGCATTATTGTTCGTGTTGATTCGTTCTAAAATTGATTAACTATTTAGTGAATTTTTTTTATATCAATGAAGAAAGCTGTAGTATTTTTTTTATTTTTATTCATTATAATTAAACAAAAATACAACTACAACAACACCATACTTTAACTTGAATTAGTTTTTATTGTGCATAAACATTTGTTTTAATAAAGACAGACTGATAGGTTCAATAAGGTCATCATTCTGTATCAGAAAATGAAAACTATAATTGTTTGTCTACATGATTAATGGTGTGTTTTTGAATAGAATACATTTTTATTTCTATAATATTTACAGAATATTTAAACAACACCGTGCAAAAGTATCAAACGAAAAAAAAAGGAATTAGCATGATAGTACTGTAACTTCATGCAACATAAATGAATTATTAAAAAGGTGCTGACAATAGTTACATTTGTAAGCATATGCTGTTTATGAGTGCTTTTTAAAGTTGATAGTTATCTGAAATGCTACGGAGGGATTTCAAGTTTACGATCATCGTGAGATATCATCATTTGGAAGATCGTAGAGAATTAGAATGTTTTTAAGTGTCACCACCGAAAACCCTGTTACGGTCGAGGTCTGAATGAGGTTCACTCCTTCTTCTCAGAATCTCATACAGTTATATTCTCTTCCAGAAAAGCTTTAACTACTACTTTTACAAGGCTGGAGTGTTATTTATAATGATCGATAAAGTGAAAAAGAACATTTGTAGATATGAAAAACACATTTAGGAAAGCGGAGAATTTCTGAATCCAAACCAGTGTTATATACATCGGCTTCAGAAGCCTCAAGGAATGAATCGTATATGAACTTATTTTCGCTCATTTACTACCCGTGGGACTGCTTCTCTTGACTTTGGTCTATTGTCTCGGGGATTGGACCTCTGGTTTAAAGGATAAGATAGTGGCCTCCTGAGAAAATCGTCTAGTTCGATTTGGCCACCAGGACAGTATTCTAGCTGGCATACAAGTTTTCGTAGCTCATACTATTTTCTCTGTCCAGCTGTGTTTCATTTTCTGTGAAGTAAATGCAAAGCTGGTTTGAGGTTCCTCAAAAGTATACATTTACAAATACTGGACCTCTAGGTGTTGTCAGAATCATCATTCTTTTAATTTAATTTGGCACTAGATATTACCTTGACGTTCATATCATTGAGAGATCCTAAAGTTGGTTTACAATAATTTTGCCATTGCTCTATGTTTTTAAGGAGACTTAATCTCACTTAGTCGGTCCAAATAAATCTCAAAGTTACTACAGTTAACGTTTCTCTAGGTATAAACTAAATGAATGAAAATCGGAAAGTAACTATTTATAGCTACTATCCGCTTATAATAAATATTCTTGATCATAAACAATATTTTAAGAACCCGAAATAAGATAATTACGATGTGTTTAGAGTTTCGTTTCCGCACAAACATAATATCATGCATGACATATTTGGCTTTTTTCACTTTTTTTCAGTTTTACAATAAAACAAATCGGATAACTACGACGTATATCTATCTGTAGGTGAGATCATACATATCGAACAAAAAAGCGGATTAACTTTATGCGGAAAAAATTCTGGTCAATGAAAACACTTCAAAAATCTAACAAGTGAATATACCTTGATTAACTTTTATATCAGTCAACTTATATAACATTTGTGCATTTCTACATAGCTAAGAAATTCAACATACAATGAGATAACAAATATTGACAATCATACAAAACTTATGTTTTATAGATTCTAATCCATTTTGTTGGAATAAAACACTGAAATTTCAATGTAAAATTTAAATTAAAATAATTTTTTTCATTTTCCTCTCTACTAGATTTCATTAATGAATTAACATTGACAGCATTTTGCTAAACATCGTTTCATCTAATAATTTACGTGTATTTTGTTCTTGGCCTTATAAAAAAATTAATCTGTTCAGATGATTCTTCGAATGTCAGAAGGAATAATCGAGCAGTTTTGATTCAAACAAATTGTTGTGTTAATTTAATCCTCATTTGTCTTTCAATGAATTTTAGACTGCAGTTCTTAGTTATCTTAAACAACTTTGGCTATTAATAGCTCACATGCCTTTATCATGTCTTAATGTACACTGAAATCACCGAGACTACAATTTAAACGTATAAGATAAAGAAACGTGTGACATGATTCTGTAAGACTGCATTATGAGATACACCGAATGTATGATTTCGTTTGAGCTCATCATTAAAGTGTTTGCGTTCTCTAGCAGTTTTTTGCTTATCCAATCGTGCATAGTCATTAGCAACAGCAAACAGGAAGAATTCTAATCTATCTATCACTTTCCCTCTTTGAATTTATCCAGATAACAGCGACAACTATATTCATGCTTGAATGAAAAATATTCCACAGAAATTCAGTGTAAGATGACAAAACAAGAAGAAGAACAATGTGCCGAATCGAAGCGACGACACAACACACTCTAGTTACATGATATTTTTCTAATAATCAAATTGTACAGCTTTTAGTATTCGTTTGTTGCTTTTCCTTTTCTTTTGGTTAAAAGAAAAGATCCAATAAAGAAAACTAAAACTAAACAATGAATAAAGTAAACTGGAACAGTAATTACAGCGCCTTTCAAATATATATATATATATATATATATATATATATATATATAATATATATATATATATAAATGTATATAATTACATCAAGACAGCTGATATATTTTCTTGCTTTTAATATAAACAAAAGTTTTTTTTCTGTTCATTATGTAAACACATACATTTACATTCGGCCAAGCTATTTATTGCTGATATGGGGAGATTTAGTGAAAAAAAGAATTAGAGCAATGGAATAATGTTATGTTAAAACTCAAAAATAAATGAATTTGCAAGGGATAATATAATTTCCTAAATATGGAACTATGTTATTGTGTGTGTGTGCAGAAGTCTAATTATCACACTTAGCTAATTGTGTTTTATATATATATATATTTACATAAATATTAAAGGTAATATTCACATTGTAACTAAAAGCATTATTGTTAAAAAGAAAAGTGTGTCTTTATTATTTATATTTTCATAATCACAACTGAAAGCAGGATGAGAAAGTGGGCTATGAAAATGTAGGGAAATCTAAATTATGTTAAAACTTTTATTTTTTATATCAAGAAGATTATCTGTGATTTCTTTTCTTCAAGCCCCATAATGTTCTCTCTCTCTCTCTCTCTGTGAAGTATTATCATTTACTTTGGTGATTAGCCTAATAACGAATTCGTAGCTCTCTTATAGTAGAGCTGTCTTCAGTGAAGTCAGGAGTAGGATAGTAGATCATCTGTGACATTGTATTAGGATAGCGCTATACTACAGATTGACTGAAACGAAAAAGATTTAGAACACTAGGTTTTTCTCAAACGGTTTATAAGAATATTAGTTGAAGGATTTTGGGCTTGATTCTATGCAGAATCATTGATTTGTGCTCTAATAAGACTTATCGGGAATCAGATTAATGGTTCAGGTTTTTTGTAATTTTGACCTGAAACTACAATTAAAATGTAGACTTAGTGTTATGTAATGACCTAATCAATGCCATACTATCTATAAAAGTGATTATTTAGGATCAAATAAATAATTGAGCTGATTAGTGACCTGTATTGTATAGGTAACTGAGAAATTCGTTGATATATTCAAAATGTACATATTCAACGATAGCTTATTTTTAATTTTTAGTTATTGTAATTAATGACGACCGCAATGTTAGTTAAATGTCAACAGTATATATGTTTGAATTATTTTTTATGGTTAGCGTTTTTTTAGAGAGTTAGTTTTTTTGTGGAATGGGGTCGCCAACCCCATGCCCGACCCCCCTTTTTTATCCAATCTTGGGACCGGTAGTAGCTCCGGGAGGCTCCAGGCGGAGGAGTAGGAGGAAAGCACGGTATTCAGTGGACAGCTAGGATGCAGCTGGGCGACTTGGGCTTCTCAGGTGATCTGGCTCTTCTATCGCAAACACAACAACAAATGTAAGAGAAGACGACCAGTGTAGCAGTAGCCTCTGCAATAGCAGGCCTCAACAAACATAAAGGAAAAAGCAAAATTCTCCGATGCAACACAACATGCGCCAACCAAATAACGCTTGATGGAGATGCCTTGGAGGACGTTAACACCTTCACATATCTTGGCAGGCATCATCGACAATCAAGTTGGATCCGATGCAGATGTGAGGATGCGGACTGGAAAAGAATCGGCTGCATTTCTACAGTTGAACAACATCTGGAACTCAAAACAACTTTCAACCAAAACCAAAATCAGGATTTTCAATACAAATGTCAAGATAGTTCTACTGTATGGAGCGGAAACTTGGAGAACTACCAAAGCCATCATCTATAGGATACAAATGTTTATCAACAGTTGTCATCGCTAAATACTTCGGATTCGTTGGCCAGACACCATAAGCAACAATCTATTGTGAGAATGAATAAACCAGATTCCAGTGGAGGAGGAAATCAGGAAGAAGCGGTGGAAGTGGATAGGACACACACTACGAAAAGCACCTGCCTGCATCACAGGACAAGCCCTCACTTAGAAACCTCAAGGTTGGAGTAAAAGTGGAGGGCCAAGGAACACATTACGCCGGGAAATGAAGACAGATATGAGAAGAATGGACGAAAACTGGAAAGAACTGGATTGGGAAGCCCAGGGCAGAGTAGGCTGGAAAAAACTGGTGGGCGGCCTATGCTCCATTGGGGGTAACAAGCGTAAGTAAGTATTATTGAAAAGAAACATCACAACAATCACCTACTACTTTATCCTCAATTTTAAATTCGAATTATTTCTCTATATGATTATTCCTGTAGACATCATCACTAGAATCTGTGTTCAATAGTTTCACTAGGTTTCAGTTAATAAATCCTAGTCCAGCTGGAGAATCTCTGTGTTTGTCTAATGAATTCTCTGGTGGGAATAATTCTTTTTTCAGAGACGAAATTGTTCTTAAAATCATCTTTAAAAGAATTAAAATATATTCCAGTAGGTTAAACTATCAAATTGCAATCATACTTTATTGACTTGACAAAAGAAGAAATCAACACCCTAAAACAATCAAAATGTAAATTTATACTCACTGATTACTTGAAAATAAAATGAATCAATGACTGAAACAATCAAAATAAGCTAAATAGATAGACGATTGGACCAGAGAGAGAGAGTAAACATACAAATTTTACATAGTAGATTGTAAGTAACTACATAAAATAATTAACAAGTCTGGTTTTTAGATTATGCCTTTCTTCTCGTGAACTACATTGCTAAATTAATAGCACAATTACATATATGAATAGTAAAGTTTTGTTTTTATGTACAATAAAAGGATAAATCAATATTGATTTTGATCAGTTATTTCGCTGGTAATTCAAAGGAGTACTGTCAAGATAATTTGTTGTAAAAATGTAAAGATTACGAGGAAGACACTTATTTGTTTATGCCAAATGGACATAGATTGATGAGTAGTAACTGCTTAGATATATGACAAAAAAACATTGGACACTTAGTAGTTGCATCGTACACATGGGATCTTTCAAATGCATCTGTGATTAATTATTCGTGAAATTTGGGTTTTTAGCTCGGTTCAATGTTCAGGAGGCAACGAAGAATGGTTCGTTATGAAATGTAGTCATTTTTTGATCGGAATACAAGTGGTAGAAAGCAGGGCTTAACTTAAGTAATGGTTTTACACTTTTTATGAAAGATTATTAGCGTTTCTAAACCATTAGACTACCCTGGTGGAGTAATACCTTCAGTTTGAAGTTATGATCTAATCGGATAAATATCACTACATATAATCTAGTGGTAACTGTTAGCGAGAATCCACGCCTGAAATCAACTAACATTGAGTAAGTCTGTTGAATCCCGTTGATAAGTCATAGGAATGATGAGAAGCAGATTCTTGATAACATAATTATTCACAGTTATCAATATTCATTGTTCCATTGCTTTATCAGCAGCTGTACTACAGTGGCAGGCTGTAAATTACAAGGTTGCTTTTGATTAACAAGTGTTTAAAATCTGCTTAGTCAAACCAGTATTTTATTTAGTAATTAGGAACTTTTTTTCATACTTATACAGTTTCTCCCGATGATTTTTGAAAAAAACTATCTTTAGCTATATTGAATGCGAACTGTTTTATTTCCAGTGATTTTCAATTATTGCAGGTTATTTAGTGATTTGACAAATTTGTTTTAAATAAATCCTACGTTACAATATGATAAAATTTAAAATGGGACTAAGTTATTTATTTATTAGTTGCAAAGCCTTTTATTCACCTCAATGGAAATAATCCAATGTCTTTTATAGTCAACTTTTTGAACTTAATATTTAACTATTTATGAAACTCTGGTAATATTTTTTTACCAATGAACCAAAAATCTTGCAAGCAAATGTGATTTTAGTTATGAGACAAATGTAATCAAATCAGAGTACAACGAATGGTTTGTTTGACTGTTTGACTGTTAAAGAAATCTAGTAAAAAGTTATAAAACCAGTAAGTTAATCGATAGACCAGTTGAAAATAATGTTATGTTCGTATGGGAAGGTAGATGACATCGAACTAATCTGATTTGATAAAAGTTTAGAAGTAAGTACTATACATTATAAATAATAAAAAGCAGGCACAGTGAATATACAAACAGAGTAGTATACAATGAGATTGACGATTCTTCATGAAAGGAAAAGCAAATGTCGCTTACATATCGCAACTAATCTATTTCATTGATTGCCGCTGATCATGTTGTTCTGTGGTTATTGCTACTTCAAGATAACATCATTTACTTCGGTTTTTCTACACAATATATCTTTGCAGTAACTTACACAGATAAAGATGTAGTGTCTCGAATTTCAAGCTGTTTCATTTTCATTGATATGGATCCACAGATAGCAATTCAAACTGTCAGAATACGTTGGGGTTTGGTAAAAAATCGTTAGCAATGCAAACTTGAATGTTTATTTTTTTAAATCATTCGTTTCAAAACATCGTGATGTAGATAGATTGTTAGACTAAAACTGTGCTTTTGTCTTAAGACATTAATCGAAAACGATTTCATAATTGTCACAAAATTGCACACACATTTTCGTCTAAGAATGAAGTGACCAGCAAAAAAAAAAGAAACAAAACTTTGATTGTTTCTTTTTTAATCGATTGGATTCACTTACCAAATTAGCATCATTATCTGGACTGAATATTGCACAATTTAAATTGGCGCCTTTTAAACCAGTTTCAGATAAGCCTGGACAATAAAGCAGACAATCAGGCAGTGGTTTCACACCGATTTCTGTCCATACACATATAAATTCACCAGCACTTTGACGATAATTGAAAAGACTCTTCATTTCTTCTTGTTTTTGACTGAGCTAATTAAAAAAAGAGAAAAAAAGATGGTGAAAATGCAATGCAATTTCAATCGATGAGATGCTTTTTGACCTATAAGTAAATATTAGCTTTGCCAAATCTATATAATAATAACTTGGTCTATTTTGAAGATATATTAGAGAGTAAGTTATTGTTCTGATTATTAATTAGGACTGAACATGAAACATTAGAATGGTAGCTAATTATTTTATCTGTATCAACCAGTAGTATGTTTGATCGACTTACTTTTTCACTTTTTTATTCAAAGGTTTGAGATTATCGTCAGTTTTTGTATTGGTAATCTTTTTTTTGTTCAACTTCATCCTTGTTATTGTGTTATTCGGGTTTTAAGAAACTTATCCATCCATCCACCTGTGAACATATTTCATTGTTAGCCTTATAACTAGAAAATAACGTGATATTTCTTCTTCCTATGAAGAACTACAAACGATGGACTTATTCGCTGAACAATGGCTTCTAATAATCTGTGTTAAATAAATGTTATGTCATCACTTCCAGTGGGACAAGTAATAATGAACATTCACTTAAAATAGGAATCATTTATCATCAACTCACGTCAAATCAAACTATTTAACATACACTAGATGACTGACAGGTTATTGGCTTCTAGCTGTACATAGACGACTTGATTTCCGACCACAGTATTGATTTTAGTAGTTATCATCATACTTCCTACTAAGTAACTAGCAAGTTATCCGCTATTTATTTAGTGCCATTATAGATAGTTTTAATACCAAACACAGAAAATTTCAATTTAGATAAAATATGACAATTCTTTGTTGTATTTACTTAAAACGCTTTCAGAGCTTATGTTAGTTAAATTCCTAATTAACCGCCGTAATAAAAAATCGAACACCGCATTGAAGTTCACACTTTCAGCGTTATTTCTCTTCTAATTTATCACACATGAACTTTGAGTTAGCTACGGAAGATTCATTCTTCTTACTCACCGATAAACAAGCTCAAAATTCAGAAAATTGATTATTCTAGTGGAAACGTTGGACTCCTAAATCAAACTCTGAAAACTAATTTGTTGAACTTCATATCACTTCATAGGTTGACGACAAAAGTTTTCATAAGAAACAAAGCTTTGTTCTAGCAAAATTTGCTCATATTTGACGATTCAGTAATTAACAATTAACATTCAGTTTTGAAATCGCTTTAATAATTAATGATTGAATGATGCAAATTTTATTGAATGAAATACATTTCGAACATTCTTGTCTACTCGACTATTTTAAGTAGTCAAAGTTGGTTAGCAAAAGATTTACGGAGAGTTTTCACAAATATGTCAAATAAACAGAATTTAACAATATTTGAGTTTTACACATTTTCGTCATCAAGAAAATTACACACACTAATATTAAAAATAATAATTAATCGATCCATGCTTACTCGCACATTATATTGGGAGATTGTTTATGTCCCGGCTTGGCTTTAATGTTTTCTGAACTGAGGAAGTCATTATGCTTCAAAACTTCAGAGATTCTTTAAATAACTAACAATCGTCGGATGAGTGTTGGCTATAGTCAACTGGTATCTTGACTAGTAATACTAACATTTTATATAATATGAGTACAGTGTTACATTGTCAAAGGAGATAGCACCTTTTACTGTGATATACGTACGTCCAGAGATCATGAAGCATACTCCATTTCGTTGATAGCCATCGACAAAATAGAGTCAAGTGTTTGTATATACAGATATGGTTCGAAATTGTGCGAATAATCCGTCTTTCATTTTAGTTTTTACTTCAGTTGAACTTATTTCTTACAGAATACAGCGCTGATACAATGAACATGCCGGAAATTTCAAAAATGCAAATGATAGATATGAAGTATCATAATCCATGACTTAAAATATCAGCAGTAACCTTTCATAACATCATGAAAGATATGCTGCGATTAAAACATAGTGATGTTATAATAAACGATAAGAATTCTGGTTGGCTTTAAAAGATAAGTGAGATGTTCAGTTTTTTAAAGAAACTGTGATGTGACTTCGTCTTTTGCTCCGTGGTTGGTTCTGGTCATGTTATTTAGATTTAGGAGTCATCAGTTTCTGCCTGAGAAAATAAATTATAATACCCCTAAACAATTTGTGCCAACAATCAGTGAGTAACCCAAAAGACTGTGGAATGTAGTCGAAATACCGTCGGAATTTCGTGCTATTGTAGATAGATGGATGCTTCATCTACCTCTGTCAATCTAGGTTCATTACACCATGGCCCTTTTAACTCCAATTAGATCTGACTAAAACAAGCCCTAGCGGTTTTTAGTAGGTTAACCGATTGAAAAAAGGTTGCATGTCTCTCTAATTTCAAAGATAGTGTAAGATATTAAAAACTCATTCAACAATTTACGTTCAGGAAGTCGTGTAGTCAAAACTATTTTGTGTTTTTTGATTTTAGAAATCATTCAGATAACCAGATTTCCATGAAAAGCCTCTCTTGATAACGTTATTATTACTTACTACTTGTTTGTTAAAATAAAAGTTATTATAAGAAGACAAAACGTCACGAAACTGACTCCTACGTTTCACATAAAATGATAATCTGGAATTAATGGACTCCGTAGATGCTAAATGTAGCGGAAGTGTACAGTGCAGTAATGTCGAACCTACACGGATCATCCTAGCTTTTGGGCAAACTAATAAACCTATCTTTTTTGAGTTACTGCTCAGACGTCTTCTAACCTTTTCAATTATCCACTCATAAACTTGGCTGTTTCCATCTGATTGTGTCAATGTGTGCATTGCCTATTTCGCTTATTTCATTTCAAGCTTCTTTTTGTCTGACTAAAAATAGTCAGCCATACCTCATCACATGAAGTTAGCTCACTCGACTTTTCCGTTTAGCTTCGTTTTTAAGCTTCTCGTTCTTTTGTCTTTCTGCTTACGCGAGTTGATGAAGTAATTCCATGTAATCAAAACCATATAGTGCTTTTAATTACCGCCAACACACAAACGGGGTTCTCCTGAGAATAATATACGGAAATTAAATGAAAGATTTATTTAATCGTTCGTCCAAAATAGAGTCCGATTGCAAATCACTGAAAAAGATCAGAGAAATAGTAACTCCTAGAACTAACTTATGAATCATTATTATAAATGTTCTCATTGTATAGGTTAGAAAGAAAGTAACTATCAAGTTGTAGGCCAATAAGGATTTGGAGCAACAACCCAAGAACCCACAAAATCAACTGCATACTAACTTTGTTCAAGAGAGCGAAGACACAATGTAGCACATACGAAGTACTAAGAAACGAGGAAAAACACCTTGTGACTATCTTCCAATAGAAGGGCTATCCACGCAACTTCATCAAAAAACAGCAGCCGAAATCGTGAATTGAAGCTAAATCAAGTGCAGGGACCAATAGATGGATCAACCTACCATACATACATACAGCACGACTACTCAGGCCATTTGGAATGGGTGTGGCACACAAACCAACAGAATCACTTCAATCAATTCTATGTTGAACAAAGGACAAAATGATAAAGGAAGAAAAACTAAGTTATATCTACAAAATAAATTGCTCAGACCGTAAAGAACACTACATAAGACAAAGTGGACGACCTCTCCAGCTTCGTTTACGTGAACACCAAATAGCAGTCAAACGCCACGAGAATTCTTCGCTTATATCAATACACAACGACAGTTATGGACATAATTCGATTGGAACAATGTGGAAATACTGTATAGGGGGAACACAAAGAGAACTAGAGAATTTTTAGAAGCTTGGCACTTGGGTCGATCAGTAATCAACAAAAACATTGACATTGACCCAGTTTATCAACCAATCAGAAAACTCATGAGTCACATAGGATCAAGAATCAGATCAAAAGGGGGATACAATCAAAACAAAGGTGAAAACAACGACAGGTTTAAGGTCAACTGCAACCAATCAAGATCGAGGTTAGCAGAACAGGCTACAGGTCAAACGTAGAGAAATTCGAATATTTCACTTCCCTCTGAAGTTTGTGCTGATGATATTGTTCAGAAGAACAATGAAAGCTTCAAAACCAAATTATCCAGCTCAGAGAAAGAAACACCACAACAAAAAGCCACCTGAGCTACAAATGTTCTCCACTATTTAGAGCTGACTCCAGGTTACTGGGGCTAGAAAGTAATTCTAATAAGTGTTTTGTATTTGTCCCATGATAATGATCAACGGTTAAGTAAAAAAACAATAAACAGATTCGAATCTAGCCTACTAACTCAAACACAAAACACACATTTGTCGACCTTCGTTCTTGCCATATGACATCGCCTTAGAAGATAAGACCTTTCGTCCTATGTTTAACACAAATGACAGGGGTATGAAAGTCCAAAGTTCTTTAATCGTACTGAGACTATCAAACCATAAGAATTTCTATTCTCCCTATATTGAAGCTTCATTGAAATACCGGCACTTGCATGATGCTAGTTTTGTCACAGTCAAAGTTTAAACGGTACAGAGGAATAAGGCAAAGCAGAAGTATTTGATACACATACAATAGAAATATACTCACTTTAACTGGTCGATGGATGGTTAAAATTACAGTTTGGTTTTGTGGTGCACAATCACACGCGACACATTCATAATTTTCCCAAAAGTAGGCGAAACTTTCAGACTCTTTCATTTCATTCCCATTAACTGAAGTAACATTATTTTTAAATGATGTATTTTTTGACTCTTTAACATGGTCAAATTTAGATGCAGCTATAAAGCAGTCATCGGTTGACTGAAAGAAAGTCTCTACAAAATTATTCTCATCTGTAGTAGTCGATACATTTGTTGAACTTTCTTCATTGATCAAATTCATGATTAATTGAAGATTTCCTAGTAGACTATCAGTATTTATCATGGAGATGAGATTTCCAGGTGTGTTGAATTCGTTCATTAAGAAATTATTGCCAATATTTTCAGTTTGGTCATTTTTCGTAGCATTAAATGTGTTAATTCCCAAGCAGAATTCTTTAGCTAATTCACATAAATATATCTTGGATGCAACATGATTGGAATCGTTGGGATTAGATGAATTAGTGTATGATTCGTTTATCAGAGAATTATCTAGTTGTGAAATTTCGAGATGAAAGATAAAACAAGAAATATTTACTCCTTCAATAGGTTTTTGTATAGTTCAGAAGAAGTTAAACTTTTACATATTTAACAGTAATTAAATTAAAAATATCGATCAAACTCAGTGTTCAAATAATAGTATCCATGTACCAGTCTTCTGAGAGATATTAACACCGTTAAATACCGGCTAAGTGGTCCAGAGGTTAGGCGTTTAAATCCTGTGAGGTGCAGGAATCGTGGATGCGCACTGCTGATGAATCCCGTACCAGGACGAAACGGCCGTCCAATGCTTCCACGTTTCTAATGGTAGTCTAAGATTGGCCAATTCATGATTTCAAATGTGAAAATATTATGTAAGCTGGAAATAACAACTGACGGTTCTTATTGAAGGAATTCAAACAGTATCATTCATTTTATGTTGATGACAACATAACTCCAAAAATAAAAAAATATATGGGCGAAAATGGTTGAATGAGTAAATTCATCAACTTAAATTACACTGTTCATAAGAGATCTATTAAATTTATGGAATTTTTCTGATTGATATTTTCAACTTATTTACTGATATAGCTATATGATAATATTGACTCTGTGGAACCTAATTCCTTTGGGACAGTGATAGAAGCTGTTGTTATTATCATCACAGAGTGATAACACTAACAAACATCGTAACGGTTCAACCATCCACTTCGATTCTCCGTCGAGATTTTCATCTAACCATATCAACTAGTCATAATAATAGTAGGTCGAAATAAGTGGAATGGTATTGGAATATATAAGTTCTAGTCAACTCACTGGAGTGCTACTCCTAAAGATCATTGAAATATAACATCACTGTAACTCACTTCAACAAAAATGCTGATTACATTACGTAAAGTTCACAGAATCCTTACTACGTGATTAGATAATTCAATAATGCATTGTTTCTACTCAAAGAAAGTCATTACTTAAAGTTGGTATTTTAAACAACTCTGTCGGGTGTTAAGATATTTAGATTTATTGATGTAAAACGGTGAATACAAGAATATGATCGGTGCAAAGCATACAGTAGGAGACAGCATTATTGTAAAAGCCAATGTGAAACCAATCACTGGAATTTACAGAAGTTTTAACTACCTATTTTGAACATTATCCTCGGTCGGTGGCGTAATGCGCCGTGATTTTGTGAATGAAGAATTCAGCGTGAACTATGTATGAAATATGAATGAAATAAAAATGACTCATCTACAGGATTATTGATTTATTTGCCACTTTGGCCATAAAACAAAAATGAAAAACTCAATAGCTTTTAGCCAAAATGATATCCGAATCATTGAGAGTCAGCTAAATCAAGAAGAAAACGTTATGAAAAATTGAAAGATAATATGTTCGAAAGATCAATTATCTGAATATGTTTCAAAAGATCCATTGCCAGAAAAAATGGCAAACTATCGATAGTGGTGTATGAAAGGATATTTTATAAACACTAAAAAACCTCATTTTCGCTTGGTCAGAAGCATACACATATTCCTATTAGGTGTTAGCTTTCACATGATCAGTCGGTAAAATAAATTCTTCGGATATCCCATAATCAATCAGCTTGTTTTATAATTTCTTATTTGGTTTGCGTCACAACTTACCGCACATTCATTAATATTTTTATTGTTACTGAATTTCAAGTTCATCTCATAATAATAATAACTTATACAATTTTAGTCTAAATTAAGGCCATACCGAGGTTCGAAATACAACGTAATCAGCCATGTGATCCAAGCCTTATTCTTGTTGCCTTTGTAATACTAGCGATAATTGTAATCAAGTATGAACTGAAAATTCTGTGGATTAATTATGTAAAAAATATAATTCACATAATAGTCCAAAGCTGAAGCTTAGAAGGTTAAGTTTTTCTTGTCGAATCTCACAAGGCTGTTTGTGTGTTAACTAACCTACGTTAAGAGTAGACGTTGTAGTACGTATTAATAAACAACCGGGCTTGTCCCACACTTTGGACAAATTAATACATTCTCTTCGAATTTTTCACACATCTTCCGACCTTGTGGATTATTTGCTCATGACATTGGCTATTTTCACTTGTAAGCGTGCGTGAGTTGCTTGCTTCGTTTATCACATGTCTAGCATATTCCTATCTGACTATAAATACTTAGTTACGCCTCTTCAACTGAGTTAGAATACTCGCCTTCTGCGTTTCTCTTCCTTTCAATTCGCATCTTATTGTTTGCCTATTTAAATGAATATATGAACCGTATCGGGCTTTTATTAACACCATCGCACTAGACAATTAAATTTTAACCAATATCATGATGATTAATATAAAAATTAAATGTTTAATCCTTTCAACCTAGTTTTTGTTCAGTTCATGTGAGCTGAAATGGAAAAATAATCATTATTAACCATCTTAGAGGTTGCAAAACTTACTGGTACTACTTATTCTTCCAATAAATTCTCCATTCTCATCAGATGGTTGTTGAGTCCATACGTCATAACAAATGTCAATTGGTTCAGTTTGTACTTCTCTATGCAATGCATCATCATTTGTCTGAACATGGCAATGATTTCGATTCTTACTTTCATTTGAATAAAGCATATAAAATTCATAATCGTCCAATGGTTTCAACTCAAATACACTGACAAACTCACTCAAAGACAGATCAATCAATTTTAATAAACATTTAGCTCTACTCTGTACTTTTGAAGAGACACGATGATTATTCATTACTTTGTTTGACTGTTCAAAGTCACTGACAACCATATTCTTCTCGTCGCTGGCATTATTGATTCCTTTAGCAGACGTAGTAAGATCAGAAGAATGCTTTGCTAATATTGATTCACAAATCCCAACATTCTCCATGTTATTATTTGGCTTGTTTTCAGAGTGTAGTCTTTGAGTACTGGGCTTTGAGGTAGATGAGACTGAAGAACAGTCATCACTAAAATCACTAGAATAATCAGGTTCTGTTTCTTCAGCGGGGTGAATTCCTTTAGTGGACGATTGATCCAACGAGTCATCACCACACTTTTCTAACTTGTAATTTCGATCATTGAAAGGAAGCTTCTTCCTTTCGGAACTGTGTTTAACAAATGAAAGCACATTGTTTTTTACATGATTGGATTGCGAGCCATCTTTTCTCGAATGATGTGCGTTAACTTTATTGAATGATTTTTTATGGGTGGATGGAATATTCTGGCCAGAATGAAAGATAAATAATCCAGAATTCTTTGAATTCGATACATCTGAGATTGGATGTTTTCCATTAAGGTAAATTTTCCAATTTTTATTATTTTCTCCCCTTGTTTCTTTTGATTTTTGTATTGGCTCAACACAACTGGTAAGTTGATCTGCATAATGATTTTTATCAGTTTTATCGTTTTTATATTCCTTCGAATGAGTTTTGACTACAGGATTATTAACATCTTGTTTTTTATGATGGATTCTGCGATAATTTATTTCTGACTTCAAATCAAAACTATTCCTAACTTGGCTCCTACTTTTAAGGTATCCACTTTGCTTAGACATTTGTAGTTTATTCTAGGATCGAAAGATAAACGAAAAATTCTGTTCAGTTATTCTAAGATTAATTTTACGATTTTAAGTCAATTGGACGTGCAGAAATTACAGTATGAATAACCAGTTAAGTAAAGCTTTAATTCATTGCACTAGATATAATGTGTTATATAGAATGACTCAACAAAGCTCTAAATTAGTTTTTAACATGTTTCTTACCAGTTTAAAACATTTTAATGATAACTATCAGGAAGAAACCTGTCACATATCTGTCCCGCACGCATTTTATGCTTAACAAGGTAATTCGTATAAACCAATTCACTTTGAGGACGGTTTCAATGATGGGTAGACATTATCGAAGAAATAAAAAAAGTCGGGGACGAGTGGATATTTTGGTATGGTCTATAATGATTCGAACTCTGCATCGCATGGCTTAGATTTACAACCAGTTCCAAGTGGGAGTAAAGGAGGAGATTCAAAAGCAGGGGTAGCGAACACATCTCAGAAAAACTTTGCTGAAAAAGCACTAAAAATCTCTGGAATAATTAAAAAGTCCCGTGTATCTCGTGGAATATTCGTGCAGGAGCGCTATGACGTCGAATAGTAAACGCTCGACTCATCGAAAGCTACAAATCAGATGTATCTCCTAACATTCATGACAACTATTGGATAGGTATATGGAATGTTCAGAAAATTTAAGAGACCAATCAATCGAGTGGAGGCCAAACTTTGTTTAAAATTAGCTAAACCCGTTAGAAAAAATATCGATCTAGAGGTTGGAGAAAGATGCCATTGTGTTCTGGAAAACCATCATCCAGAATTGCTTGAGAAGAGGCCAGTTTATCCTGAAGAGGAGCCTAAACTCCTTAGTCGGCATGTACAACACCGAGAATGAACTATTCATGGTAAAACATGTAGTGGCAGAATGAAACTAGAATGCAGAAGGACTGGTAGATTTGAGTACTTCCAACAATATTGTAATGAGTGGCAGCATTTTATAAGGCAAATACACAGAATGATACAGGTACTTCTCCGAATCATAATGCGGAAAAGCAGAATCACCACATCTGCACGAATAAATTATGCGGTAGTTTCATACAACATGCGTCAGTAAAGAAGGGAGTAGATATACCATCAACTCACCACCTAGTGCAGAAAAGGTCAAAGCAGGATCTTAAAATTGGATAAACAGCACTAATAAAGTCCATTACAGCCTTCCTCCGAGATCCTAACAAATCCAGCGAGTTCAACACTCTTAGCAACAAGTTTCAATTCTTGGAAGATCTATCGGAGGAATCAGAAATTACAGTGGGCAAAACCGGGACAGTCTGAGAAGGTACCAGACCTCAAAGAACACAGAGCATAGAAAGTGGATCTCTGCAGATCGCCTAGGCAAGATTCAGGAATGGAGTAACAATACGACACCAGTCAATGAATGCGATCATTACCACTTGGTAGCAACCTGAGAGGAAGATCCTTGGCAGAGCCACTTACAAGATAAGTGCTTAAGCGAGAATTTCATCCGAAAGCAGAAAAATTGTGGACGTCATTTAGCTTTAAGGTAATATGAGTAACTAGACAGTCTCCGAAGCATTGCTTGTTTCTCTTGGGACTGTCTAGTAAGTAATGTTATTGTTAGCAAACGGTTACTAGGTAAATATAGAGGATCAAGAGGATAAGTAATGAAACTGCATCAGTTGAGGTGGTTAGGACGTGTTACGAACGCCCAACAACCGACTGCCTCATCTAACTATGTTTTGTGGTGTAAGAGGAGTAGGCTGCAAGAAAGCTAGGAGCAGCCAAAACAAACAATGGCAGAAATCCATGAAGTCACTGACAACTGGACTGAACCATGTTAGTAGATGCAGAACACCGAGTTGGGGCACGCGAGATGATAGTAAGCGATGGTTAGGGACTTTAAATCAGATTGCGCAGGTGCACCCATTCTTTGTGTTCTCTCATACCCGAATCTTCTGTATTACTCATGACCATTTTTCGTTTTTCAATCGATTCCTCTGTGGTATACATCTCAAGTGATCGATTCGATCAATAATATTTTTGATTACTGCTAATACTTCTACTATTTCTACTGCAATGGGATTTGAATTGACAATTGCATCTCTGTGCTAATATGGTTTGGCAACTTGAACTGACATATGCATGTACGAAGTTCTACGTTTTAACTGACTAAGTGATTGAGACAATCTCAAAATGAACCAGATATTAGTATTCCGGAGCAAATTTTACCATACTGACTAAAGATAGCTTACTTAAATTTACTCACATAATATATTTAAGTGCATACCTTAAACGTATGTAAAAAAAAACAAATGGGAAAAATATAAGGTGGTCAGTAATCCCGATACGGGCGTTTTATGACCAGTTCTCAAAAATGTCTCCACTATCTGACTTTTATGAGTTTACGGGAGGTTCATTACTTGATATAATCCAGAAGAGTGTTGTCAGTGAAAATTTTCAAGTTTTTGACTACTAAAGACAAAAATCACCGCTATGTAAAAGAAATTCGCATCATGCAAACCATCTGTGAGGTTTTCAGTTCGTGCATACTGAATAAAAATTCCGCTTTACATCTAAGCTTTACGCATGACAGTCAAACTCAGTGATATCTTAAATAACAAGTTTTCAAACATTTCAAGCCGTTCTGTTCATTACTGAAGACTCATGGTTTATCCTCTAACGAGGTCGTGCATCCGGAATGATGAGCTATTCAGCAGGAAGAAACGCGTTGCCAGTGTTTCTTAGTTTACAAAGATTTTCTAAATAAACTTAGTTCATGTCGTTCAATGCAAGTTGAATGTTCTCCACAAAATACTTATCTCAACCGACTATTCATTATTCAGTTGAATGACTAATTTTCGCTTCTTCAATATTATTATGGATTAAAATTCTGACAACACAAAATAAATCACTTCGCATAAAATGGTTTCTTATGAAACCATTTTATTGCTTCAAAGTTTCGATTATTTAATCAATCTTCAAAAAGGCCATGAAACGAGGATTCATTGTTTAGTCGAAAGCAGAACTGTCAAGGTGTGCCTTCTGATGTCACAATGATCTTGATTCTTTCAAAATTAGCTTAAAAAAATATATTGACCTTTAGGTAAACCAAAATTGTTTTCTATGGTGCTTTAGTACATATCATAATACCAAAAGAGACCAGCAGGGAGATATAAAGACTTTGAACAATGACGAGTTTAACTGAGTAATGAAAACGGTGTTGACTTTAAACTCCAGATTAAATTGACATCAGCAAGATAAATGAAGAGGCCGTGCCAAAAAAACACCCTGACCACTTTTCATACTGAAACCGTTTATAAGTATCCCATACAAATAATTCCGTACGCCTTGGATATTGGGGCTGATCACGTTAGTTTTGGTGAACACATCCCTAGCTGTTAGCACTAGGTCAGTCACCTGCTCCATATCTCAGTTAGATACACCACAATGATTATCTCTTACGCAAACTATTCAGCTTGCTTCATATAATTTTGGACGCTTTGAGCTTTTCTGAGAAATCTCTTTGAACCCCTAATTCCTGAATACCGATTTAGCTGGCTTCTGAATTCTTCGTTTAAAAGGTGTTACGAACAGCAGCCTAGTTAAGTGCCAAACATGTGGCAACGTTTGTGTTTGTTCCGGGTCAATGAAAGTGTAGCGTGCTTAATTGGGTAATACTTAGCTTCAGTCAGCCAGCCCTACCCATGAACGAGATTATATGAAAATATTTTCTAAAAGATAACGCAAGCTACCGTTTGAGCTTTCTTAGTCAGTCAGTCAGATGCAAAGTAGAACTTTGTACGTAAGTACATCAGTTCATGTTGCCGTACAACATCAGCACAGAGATATATCTGTCAATTCAAATCCAATAGTAGAAGAGGTAGTAAAGTTACTAGAAGTAATCGGAGAGGTTAGGATGAGAAGATATTCAAGAAATATGATTCAGTGAGATAAGTTTAGAAAGTCAGAACTAGAGGTGTTGAAGAATCCAGAAGATTAGGATTTGAGAGAACACATTATCATTTCGCAGTCCACAGCCAGGTAGCCGACAATTACCGACATGGCTCAGTCCACTTGTCAATGACTTCATGGATTTGTGGCATGTTTTGGTCTGGCCGGCCCTAACTATCTTCCAACCTACTCCTACACTACAAAACAAAACTCCTCGAGGCAATCGGTGTTTAGGTATATGCAGCCCATGTCCAAACCACCTCAAATGATGAAGTTTCAACATGTCATCTGTTAATCTTCCATTTTTACCTAGCACCCGTTTCCCAATAAAAGTTTGCTCACTCGGGTGTCCCAGGATATACGAGCAATGCTTCGAAGACATCTATGATCGAAAACCAGTAACCTACGAATATCTTCTAATCTCATTGAAATGGACAACAGCATCTAAAAGAATAAGGTAACCGTCATTTGGCGTATTCATCAAGTAAATAAGCAGTACCTTGATTCGACGGGGTAAGAATAGTTATTCAGATGGTGATCAAGTAAAATTACTGAATATTATTTAATAATATTCATTGTAGTCAGCTTAAAACAATCATATAATATGCATTATTATTGTCAGGCGGGTTACTTTCAAGAAACTATCACATAATCAATACTTTTGTCCAGGTGGATAACTACAAACTAAAAAACAACTTTCCGAGCAAAGATTGGTTCGAAATCTGATTTAAGAAAAGAAAGGTACCCTTTTGTTCTTATGCAAAAGCCGAAGTGATTTATTTTGGAAACAATTAAAGGTAGAGCACAGGTTTATATTAAACTTCTTATCAAATCGCCGACAAGCATCTTTTAAACTTCAGTCAAAACAGAAGTTGAGAAAATCCATGAAGATATGAAGCTTTTATTAGTATTTTTGAATAACATTTAGAAATTTACTTCAAAGTTGGCTGAATGAAGCGCCATGGTAATGATATAGTCTTGCGTTATTTTAAGGCTGATGCATCAGTAATATCCAAAACTCACTGTTCGTCAAATAGTTTTTG